ACCAAAGCTAACTGGTTAGGTTGGTCACATTGGCATCAATCACTAGTTCAGTGTAGGTCAACATAAAGACCCTTCTTCATGGTAACAGCGGGATCACTGTTAAAAAGAGGAAAGTGATAGGAATGGCAACATAATGAGTAAGTTCAAGAAATTTTGTCCAAGATCACCCACAATATTTAAATTCCCTTTACGGACTCACTGTAGCAATGGTTCGCAAAGTTTTCATTTACCTTGTTTTCTGATCAATTCTAGATTTTTCCCTAAAAACATCATCCATGAAATGGTGACCATTGCAATATGTTGCATGTGTAAACAATAAATCGAATGTTTGTGTGAATCAAAGAAAAATAAATGTAGACACATTTTAGCTTCCACTTTCAGCACACCACGCTCTCCACATGTCACATGTGTGATGTTGAACTGGATTTATGTCACTAAAGACCAATTTAAAACATAATTACAGTTCAGATTTGGCACGTTCCAGATTTCATATTTGCATGACATCTGGATTGTGTGAAAGCAACACATACAAACTCATCTTCTGCCACACAATTATACAACAACAATTCCTACTTTTATGAATAAAAATCAACGACATCGTGACCACAAGACAAATTCTGTTAATTTGAAAGATAATCACAGCCACAGTACCTCAAGGCAGCTTCCTGCCCTTAATCCCCCCTGAAGCCCAACATTTGCAGACCCCTCTCTTTAAGGATGCAGTAGAGCAGGGCTCTGATTTCAAACCTCAGTGAAGGCAGGTCAAAGGGGCCGGGCTTTATGATGATGCAGGAGAGGACCCCTGTCAGAACCTCAAGGGGTCTGGCTCACAGAGTCACGACCCCTACGGACACAATCAGTGAGCCACACACTGACATCAAACCAACACTTTGCCCGAGACAAAACAAGGGCAGTGCTGCTTTGCCCTGATCCACAAAAACAGAGCCACGCAGAGAATGCAGATGTACCCACGACCTTAAAATGGTTTCAACTGAGTGCAGCCGATGTGCACTGTGAAGCAAAAAAACAAATTCCACTGTCTAAACTAAATCTTCTTAATGTTTTTGTTTTTCCTCAAACGAGTCAAGTCTTGATGTAGATGCCAATTTAAGCAATTAGCAAAAATGTAATGCCGGTGCCACAGAGCTTTGATTATAAAAGGAGCATTTCCTTGAACAGTCAAAGTGACATCAATTCTTATTTCCTCTGTGGGAGGGTAAAGAAAGAATCTGTTTGAGGGAACTTAAGAGTTGAATGTCAGCTGAATGACAAATGACAGTCTGAGAAGAGCAGTGTCAACCAACACAAGGAGGCTTTCAGACAATCACCAGAGAAAATTACATTAAATTCCTTGCATCTGCTGACTTGAATAACAATCCCTCTCACTGCGACTCTGGAAAATACTCAAATTGTGTGGATATAAAACGATAACTCCGACAGAAAGGCTGCTGGATAATTGGATGATGGCACATGACCATGGGGCATATGTCCCTTGTAAAAACCAGGGCTGCAGGATATAGATGCGGCTGTAAAATGAGACAAAACTATACAATTTGTGTATTTGTGAAGATATTGTGAGAAAGACAGATTTTTCAGCGATGACACAGACGAGACAAAAGATCGGCCATTAGCTCCAGCTGTTTTTCCGGGCGGCTTGTTGTTCAGCAATCTACCTCTGGCGATCACAGCTTTACTGCAGATGTGCTCCTGCTCATTATCACTGCAAACTCTTTCACTCATAAAACCCTTTACAGCTGGAACATAAGGAACCAAGCACTTTATGTCGACTGAATTCAAAAGCCGTGTTACTACATTACTAAGCATTTTCCCAGCTAATAACTGCAGAGCTGCTAATGAGCCTGGCAGCGATCACTCCCAAATAAACAGTGTCAGTGTTTGCAGAAGTCATGTGACCTACTAAAGTGCCTCGTTGTTATACAACAAGCATAAACACGTAGGTTAAGTAGAGATGATACACTATGCCTGAATATGTCTGCACATGGTTAATCAGATCTTTGTGATAAACTTACTGTACTATTGTGTCATGTAACGCAAAAGATTACCCTGGGCAAAGGTAATCAACGAACTGATTTGAAAGACCAGTGATGTTGCTGGGGTGGAGCTGGACTCTCTGTTGGTGGTGTCAGAAGAGGACAGTGCTGTCCAGCTCACAGGATATATGGGACAACGTCTCCAACCCGCTTCACGTCACGACATGCTGGCTAAGCACAGCAGTACATTCAGCTACAGACATATTCCACCAAGACGCTACACAGGAAGTCATTCCCGTCTGTGGCCATCAGACTTTACAGCTCCTCCAATAGACTGACCATCATTTTTCTGCAATAACCACTTAGCTGCTGTATATACTTTATCATAATTAAGACAGTATGTATGTAGAGCAGTATAATCCACATAACACACATATTTTATATACTTCTTATGTATATATTTCTATTTATCATTATCTTTGGTCGGTGTATATATATATAAATATATGTGTTCTTGGTCAGAGCAACTGTAATTAAAACCAGTTTCTCCCAGGGATCAATAAAGTGGTTTTTGACAAACTAAAGCACCCTTCAAAGTGACTACCTACAGGATATTTGCATTGCAAAACATACCAGTACAGTACTTTATGCAAATAACTCTTCGTTACCTGTGATGTTCTCTTTAGTTCAAAATAAATATCCATACAACAGTTTTTACAATGCACGGCAAGCCCTAGTGCATTGCCCGCAGAGCTGAATCCTGCATCTTCAACAAAACACCTAACGTTTATTAACTGGGGCTCCGGTGGAACCCATCAAGCAACAGCTCCTCTCATCATCAGGTTGTTGTTGTTTGTTATTACCCCGCTGGGTTCTGCATGACAAATGGGCGGCTTTGTAATCTCTCGTTCAGCACCCCCGATGACTGTGCATCATCGTCTAATATCGACTAAAAGCCCTGAGTCACTCTCACGGAGAGAAGGAAAGGGGGGTGCTGAACATTCCTTGCAAATGAGAACTTGTGCTCGACCACATGCTGTCTTCTGATTCCTCGAGTGACACCGGCCCCCTCCTCCCCTCTAATCCCCATCGACCCCTGCTCACCTATCCCCCCCCGCCCCCGTCTCGTGGGTTTTGAGGTTGGAAACAGGGACGTGAATAGGTGGTATTTCAGCGTGCTAACAGAGCCGGAGAGCAGAGCTGAGTGGCTGGGGGCCAAATCCCCATGGTTACCCTGGAGCAGCTACTGCCTCTTTCCTGTGCTGGGCTGACTGGGAACAAGCTACCTCCCTGCTCTGCATGTTTGCGGGGCTGCTTGAAGGAGACAGGGGACACGGGATAAGTGAGGGTGGTACAGTATCAGTATGGTGCCTGTAAATCAAGGCGTGTGTGACATCACAGAGGGTAGAGGACAACTTCAATAAAAGAATCCATGCATGGGCACCCAGCTCTTCTGATGTGCCCCTGAGCAACACACATGAGCGTTTCCTGAACTTGTGCTCCTCAGTCGCCGGATTCTGCTGTGGGAACAATGCGGCAGTTCCAAAAGTCTCACACCAACTCATAACAGGTTGTTAACAACGTGATAAAACTGCTCCGGCCCAAGTAGTAATGGAAGCATGTGTGTCAGCAGATGAACTGATGTAAGTGGATTTAACAAACAGGCTGAATGCAGATTCTTTGGCTGGTGAATGATAGTGATCTCAGCTCTGGGTGAATGAGCTGAGCACTTAAAGAGGCTTTCACGTGCAAAAGAACTTAACAAAAGGAGTGAAGAGCCACACCTGAGGAGAATTAGCAATTTCTTTTATTTTGCTAATAACTTTCACCTCCATTGAAATGCACACATGGATATTTAATCCCTCTGTAGGCCTGAAGTTCACGTTTCTATGAGGGTTGGTTATTTAAGTCATACATGTTCCCTGTCTGCTTTGCAATAAAAAAACAGTAAAAAAGGAGGACAACTTTTTCTTTCAATCGAACAATGACTCATGGCCTGGTCCCTGTTCCAAACACGTCTCTTACCTTTCACTTGACTCTCGTAGTCCGCGATTATCTCTTTATCCTTTTTGAACCTCGGCGTGGACATTTTCTGTCTTCTCGTGTCCGCACTGCCAAACTTCTTTTGAGGAGGAGGGAAGAAGTAAAAAAAAAACTGTTTGTCAACAAGCGGGATCCTACAGGAGCCGACGCATCCCACCAACACGGGAAAAAAAAGACGCAAGAAAGACACGGAGACAAACCGTGAGAGGGTTTAACTCTGCAACAAGCTCGACTTTGGAGCGAGAGACACGCAGACTCAGTCCTTCATTGTCCCGCTTCCCTGTGGATAAGCGGCGGATAAACGCGGCGGGGCCAATGCGCAATCCTGCTCCAACCAATGGATCCACTCAACTGCAGGAGCGGTCGGCGCAACAGCCAACGGAGCTGCTGCTGCTGCTACCACTGAAGAAGAAGAAGAGGGGAAAACACAGTCGAGGAACTTTCACAGTCTCCGTGGAAGGTTTCCACAGCTCCGCGTAAAAGTAGTGCGCAAAAAACGCGTCCGGGAAAAAAAGGCTGCAAAGTCTGATTGAATCGTGCGCGCGTGTATTTTTTTTTCGTAGTGGTTCCTAGTTTTGGGAAACACGCACAGTCACACTTCCTCCCCCTGGTTGACTGGTTGTCCCTCGACGGCTTCTCCCTCTCTGACTCCCCCCCTCCACCCACACACACACGCACGCACGCACACACACACACACACACAGAACTCCCAGCAGGCTCAGAGGCAGACAGGCTGCAGCGCTCAGCAGCCGGAGCCAGGCAGGGAGAGGAGAGGGAGGGATCAGTGGACACCAGTGGAGCCCAGTGGAGCACACTGTAACATCCACTGTAACTTCAAACTGAAGAGTTTACACCAAATAGTTTTTTTCTCAGTATAACTTATCATATAAAAGGCATTATAGTATATATATCTTTTTATTATTTAATAATAAATAAACAGGCAATACATGAACATCCCATGGGATATCCTTCAAAAGACAAATAAACAAAAGGAGATATAGTGCTGTCAAAGGTGGGATATGAAGTGTACATGGGTGGATACAAATGAATTGAAGTATTCTTACACTTACAGCCATGCATTCAAATAGGCTACAGTTTATACAACTGTAGCTCTGTGGTACAGCTGATATATCATTCTATCATGTATTCTATGTAATATATATCTTTCTTTGAAGTTATTTAGTATTTTAAACACATAGCACCTACATACATGCTTCTGCCCCATGACATTCTTGGATCTGTGGTGATTTTCTTAAGTCAAATGTTTTTCTCCTTCATTCAAAAAGCTTCAGCTTCACATTTTAATCACAACTGTAACTGTTGAGAGTTAAGTGGTCCATGGCGCCATCTGCAGGGGAATTGAAAGCACAGAACAAGCCCATCTGCTGACGTCTCCTCAGGACAACACTCCATTTCATTTTTATTGCACCATCTTAAAAAAAATCCATGCAGCACATCACTGAAATAAATAGACCAAAAACAATCTAAAACAAGTTCTGTTATGTTCTGACCAGAACGTGCCACATACACCATATCAGTTTTCTAGCTGCTCACAATACAAAATATAGTCATCATGTACCATTTTCAAAACAAGATCTAAAAACACAAACTTCTCAGTCTACGCCAAATGTTTAGTGTTTCCTAAAAACACATTAAGTACGTATAAACAGATATAAAACATAACGCAAGGACTTCAAAAAGCAAAGGCAGCATCTTATTCATAATCTCCAAATGTCTGGACATTTTACAATCATAAACATTTAAATAATAAATACATAGAAAGTCATTGAGTCCGTTCACAGGACTAAAACTGATGTTCTGACAAAGTGTTGGCAAGTTTAAAACTTTACAACATACATAATTGTTTAATAATAACCTGCACGAGAATTACACCGAACATCACCAGGTTCACTATTCCAGTAGTACGTCACATTCGTCCACAATAAAGAAATTAATTCATTGTTAAATGTTATCCCTGTTGATATTTAAAAGGTTTGTTAACCAAGCACCGCAGTCAAACGCTTTTGAAGAAGGTCTCCTCGAGGACCTCGGTGAACCGCTCTTTCATCTGCAGACGGAAACCGCCGTACCACTCCAGCAGCCTCCTCCTCCTGTCCACCCTCTGCTCCTGACTCATCGCTCGCTCCCTTTCCAAGATGGCCGGCAGTTCTTTCCAGTCACTGATGAAGATGAAGGGGGCTCCCGCGGCTTTGAGGAGACGCAGCGGGGAGCTGGGCCCAGCGGCGCAGGTGCCAGGAGTCAGCACGTCTTCCACCACGGGCACTGAGCCATAAGAGCATGCTTCATAGATGCGGTAGCACTCTGTGTTGATGCCGACTGGGCAGAGAGTGAGCTCACTCTGGGCCAGAGCTGTCTGATAGCGTCTTAGACTGTCTGCTGTTTCCTGAGGGAGCCACCTGAGGCAAGAAGGGGGGAGAGGACACTTAACCTACCGTGATAAATATACAAGACAGACATTATGTTTCTTTACTGTTCCTTCAAGACATTGTTTAGTTCTCTCACCTCAATTCCATTTTTAAGTTAATAAGACAAAAAAACAAAAGAAAGGCTGTGTTTAAAATAATAAGAACCTTTAGAAAACTGCATTATATGCCACATGCAGGAGTGAAACTGTATGTGTAAATAATAAAATAATAAGTTGTTGAGGAGTCTGACTCAGCAAATCAGTCAAGTCTTTCTGGACAAAATCCCTCCTTGGGGTTTCTGTTCCTCTAGTGCAGCTCAGCAAAGAAACACAGGCATGAAAAAACAATGGAATTTTCTTGTAAAGGTAAGGAGCATTCCTTTAAGACATTTATAAGATACTCTGGTAAAAGTATTTTCCACTGGCTCAGGGGCTGTGAATACAATTTACAGTGAGAAGAAATTCTTCACTCAATCCTTTAAACAATCATTTCCATCAATAAAATGTTCACCCAATTACTCAAACAGAGAATCATGACTTACTTCTCTCTGGCAGTGGTGATGCATTCCTTATCCAGGCCCGAGTGATTCAGCACCTGCATGAGTGTTTCTCTGGAGGAATTTTTGTACACAGTTCCGAGGAAATTGCAGAGGTATGGTCTGTTGGAGGTAATCAACTGGGGATTAGGCCTGATCATAGGGAACTGCCTGTATCTGCACAGAGAAAAGGAAACATGTGTTAGATATTGGTATTAATTTAAAAAGACAACTTGAACAGTTTTTGATGCTGAACACTAATGATGCACACAAACGGACACAAAAGACTGCTAAGGGCTGACGTACGTAGCTACACCGAGAGGCCACTGGAAGACATCTTTGTCGTTGACCCAGGGGCTGTCATACACCACAAACAGCAGGTCCACAAAGCCACCGTTTCTCTTTAAGTAGGGGCCGATCCAGGCGTTGTTGCAGTGCTCATTGCCCAACAGGACCACAGCCACGTGTAGGACGGTGTGGGACTGAACCAGAGTCTGAACGTGCTCCAGCCACCGTGTGGAGTAAGAGACCTTCTGCTGTTCACGACCGTTCAGAACCAGCACCAGGCTGTTCATATCCAGGGGGACATGGCCCTGGACCACAGCAGGACCTGTGTAGAAACTAAAGACCAAAAAGTATGAAGGGACGCAGAAGGAACAAATCAATGTGATAGAATTATGCCTTCTTCAGTTGTTATTAGGTAGAGGTTGTGAGTTATATATTTAAAGATCCCATTTGTAACTTGTTACCTGAAATCAATTTTTCCTGACTGCAGCTCCCCCTCTCTCCATTGCGCTATCTTGTCAGTAGGGTTGAGGGGTCCCTCTAAAATATGTTCCCAAAGGTAAAGTCCTGAGGAGAAAATAAAGGTTCAATGCTCCTAGATAGAAGTGTCAACTTAGTGCCATGATTCATAATTACAATGTTGCCAGGCTTCCACAGTAGAGTATTCATCTGTTTTGTTTACAATTAAAGTATTATCAATTATTCACGATGAATACAATTATGCAATTTCTGCTACAGGGCCAGTGTCAGTGTTGTTTCTCTCTAATGCAAGAAAAAAACTACTTATAATGACAATTCTTTTTTGAAAATAAAAAAAATATTTGCACTTATAATGACGTAGAGCTTTATAAGATATTTAATTTTCCACTCTGACTTCTAACTAGTTTAATCTACAAGTATATTTTCTATACTATAGAGAATATACTGTAGAAAATACATGTTTTGATTCTGGACATGAAGATATGTACAATGTATTTGAATTGCTTATCAACAATGGTAATTATCAGGCTTTTTTACGTTCTTGAGATCTTAGCTGCTTTTCAATGACAATAACTAATCACTGTTCACTACCATCACCAAAGTATCCACTAACATTTTCTTTTCATCGCAATGTTAATTGTCTTTGCCCCTGAACAGATTTTTGAATTCTTAAGGCTCCTGCAGAGTGGGTCACCCTCCTTTGTCTCCTAGACCATCATACTCATTGATTTAGGTTGTAAAAAACCTTTATACTCTGAAACATGGGTCCAAATCCAGACAGTCTGACTAATTTTCCATCTTATTGGGTTTGTCTGGAACCGACATAGTTACACTAGATTAGAATAAAAATAAAGAATTAAAATTAAATAGCAAAATTCAGTAGTGAATTTGTTAAATATTTACTTAAACTTGATAAATGCACATCAGATTAAAAGTATTTCTCATCGCACAGTCACTTTGTACATACTCCTCAGTATATAAATATGACAGTGTGCTGACGTGTTGTCCAGCAGCTGTGCATCTTCCATAAAACCACAACCCACCTATGGCAGCTTTACCCCAGACTTGGACCTTGTATCTCTGGGGTTTGCTCCTGTCGATTCGGCCCAGATGCTGCTGGAAGGCGTCTCTCTTTTTGTTCAGGGCAGAGTTATACTCCACCTGTTCGTCCTCCCACGGATTCCAGTCTTCTGCACGAAACGGAGCAGCCGCACCGCCATCTCTGACGACACCTGCAAGACACACAACACACGTCAACTCAAAACCACCAGGGAACAAACACTAGAGTTTCTCTATCTGTTGGTTTACGATGATTCTTTTTCTGCCATGGAGTCTGTATACGATGGTTGTGTGGAGATAATGTACCGGAAGGTGCTCCAGCCTCTTTCTTCACCACCCGGTGAACGCGGGATATTACTTTGGTGCTGAAGAAGACATTATACGCCGCATACAGTGAAAAAGCCACATAAGCGAAAATAATGAGGAGGAAAAGTTTTCTTTTTGGTATTTTCATCTTTTTCTTTTCTTCCCCCCCCTATCAAGTCACCATTGTGTTACCCGTCACCGATTTTACTGAGGGCCGCTTGTTTACATCACGAGGACCGCTGGATACAGCTGCCTCAGAGAAGTGCCTGAACAAAACAACGAGGAATATTACAATATATGTTGATTTATTACATCTGGTTAAATAAACCCACAGAATTTTGACACATCTGTGTTATTTTCATTTCTATTACTGTCATAAACTTAAAATTTGATAATAAAGTGATCTTTCTGAACAGGCACTATCGGGGCGCTACGTTCAGGCCTCACGTAATGCGGAACCTTCCTGGGGCGGAGCTAGTTTCTGGAAACGCATAACAAAGTGACACTATTTGTTCACGGAAGGTCGTGTCCCCTGCCGCGGGGTGATAGTGTTTTATTTCGGGGGAAGAGATGATGTCTGTAGCCGCTCGGTCCGGGGCTCTGTCCCCTTATCTGCAGGCAGCGAGACACTCCGCTAAATGTCTGGTTTTCCCCGGAGCGAAGGAGCCGCTGCCCGCTGCGGGTAAGGGCGACGTCTTGCAACAACGTTAGCTGTCACAGAGCCACACGATGTCACCGTGAAAGTGTTACTACTCACACTTTATAGATCCATTTGTGTGTAACGTGTAAAATTCATTAACTTTACTCGTCTGTGGGTCTTTTCTGCTAAAGTAAACTATTGCTAACAACCTACATTAGCTAGCAGGAAGTAGCATGTGTGGTGGTGTAACCGCAATCTGTGACTTGATCAGTGGTTAAAGTCTGAGCAGTGGTTCAAAGTGATTTGAGTTTACGTACATTTCTATAGTGAGACGTCAATGGCTCAAGTTAATACTCCTCCAGCTTCAGTCTAAATATAGCAGTCATGAAATACTTTGCATGGTAAACATCAGTCAGAGTACTCACGTGTGAGTACATGTCAATATATCTGCGTTGGCCAAAGAACAAGGTGTCATATAGATTATGTTGTGAACCACCTGAACGTGTACAGTCACAGTTTTAGATTATATATATGTTTTAAGAAATAATCCTAACAATTGTTGGAGCAGCTATATTGACATTATCATGATTAGTTAATCCAGGAATGAGCTTCAATGATTGGTAGTTTGTAGTTATCTATGGTAGTTATTAGATCTATTACTAATAAAGCCTTAAACAGTAATAATGAGTGTGATATGCTGAAGTTTCCAAAACTGCCTTCCAGTGTTCTGAAGGAGAATTGTGGTAGTTGACTGGTATAAATATTTAATGTGAAACAATGACAGACATGAGTTGTATAATATCCTGTCCACATGTTGCTTCTGAATTCCAGCTCCTGCAGGAATCCGCCTCGCTCACACAGACATCAAGATTCCTGACTTTGGAGACTACCGTCGCTCCGAGGTCACAGATCCCAAAAAGTCATCGCAGGACAGCAGTGAGGAAAGAAGGGTGTTCTCCTACCTTGTCACTGGAGCATCCACCGTGGTGGGCGTCTATGCAGCCAAGACAGTGGTCTCCCAGTTCGTGTCGTCCATGAGTGCATCCGCTGATGTCCTGGCCTTATCCAAAATTGAGATCAAGCTGTCTGACATCCCTGAAGGCAAAAACATGACCTTCAAATGGAGAGGAAAGCCCCTGTTTGTCCGTCACCGCACAGAGAAGGAAATAGCCACAGAGGCAGCTGTGAACCTAGCGGAGCTGCGAGACCCCGAGCACGACAAGGATAGAGTGAGTAACCCCAGCTGGGTCATCGTCCTTGGCGTGTGCACCCATCTGGGTTGCGTGCCCATCGCCAACGCCGGAGACTTCGGAGGCTACTATTGTCCCTGCCATGGCTCCCACTATGATGCTTCAGGAAGAATAAGGAAGGGACCTGCTCCTCTGAACCTGGAGGTTCCCTACTACGAGTTCCCTGATGAAGACACAGTTATTGTTGGATAAATACTGGAGCTCAGTCGCCGTTCCTCTCTGTAATTTTTATTTTTAAATGGCGTTGTGAAAGAGTTGGGGGTGACGCAACATATGTATATTTAATAATAAAGAGATGTGTCCAACCTTATTTTTTTCTAGTTATGATCTTTATCTAGTTATCTAGTTATCTTTCCTCCACAGGCATCCATCAGGCAGTGTAATGTGTATTCACATTATATACATATACATACATATACACACCTGGTAAATCTGTATACGTATGAGAAAACAAAGGAAACAACTTGCTCTGCTCCATAATCTTATCATTGTCCTGTCAGTGGACACACACACACTGGCACCTTTTGTTAAAAAGAAAAGATTCCATTTAACTTTGGATGTGTTTCCCACGTCTGAGTTAAAAAATGGAAGCTGGTTTCTAATGGGGCTTTGAGGCCTTCAGAGTAAGAAGGTTTACATTGATCCAATATTTACACTGCTTATCTTCTGGGTATTGGGTGAGAGGTGGGGTCACCAGGTTATCACAGGGCTGACATGCAGAAGAGCCACAATATCCAGACATATTCACACTGACGTTCACACCTACAGGAAAGTTTATCTCTAATTGATCTAACCTGCACGTCTTTGAACTGTGGGAGGAATCCAGAGTACATGAGTATGACCCTCGCAGACAGAATGAGAATCTACACAGGTCTGTGCATCAAGTTCATCTTATATCCAGATATATATCAGTGAACCACATTTAACATCGAGGGCACAGACCCACTTTATGAGGGTGTTTTCTTAGGTCAGAATTTAATGAGCAAAAACAAACATTTTGTGTTCTCAACCATGCATTGCACATACATACTAACACTTTTTATTTTAGGCCCCTGCAGCGTGCGTCACCTTTTTTTTCTTGCATCCTGCAGGGGGAGCAGCTGGCCTCAGACCACTCACTGTTTAGGTTTTATGTATAAAACCTGTTATCTCTGAAACATGGGTTCAAATCCATATAGTTATTTTTCCATTTTATTGGGTTTGTCTCGTATGGACAAGTTTACACATGTGATGACACTAGCAAACAGTGTAAGTGAGATTAAAATAGAATTGTTTTACGATTGCTTTGCTTTTATTAATGAAAACATTTCATTCTTTGAATTGACTCACTGATGGCAATATACTGTACACAAAGTAAACTAAACATGATGTGTATTTATCAAGTAAACACTTGATAAATACACATCAAATTAAAATTATTTCTCACTGTACTTTCTATTTGAACATAATCCTCTGCATTTAAATATGACAGTAGCGTGTATCTGTATTTTCAGTGTTTCAGTGTAGCTGCAGTCAGACCTTAAATCAGACTAACTTTTAACATCAGAACCATTACACAATTAATGAATAGATGATTTCTGCAACTGATTAGTGATCTTCCCTCACTATGTTTATCCTCATAATTCCATTTTCATTGAAAACACGAGGTTATGATGTGCCAACCTGCTGTTTAACCAGTGGTGTCTGTCCAGGATTTCACATTAAATTAGAAATATTCTCGAGCTTCATAAAAACAAGTCTTATTTTTCCAGACTTCATCCTGTTGAGAACTGAGGCCTCAGAGTCATGTTCCCCGGTGTTTTCCACAGACACTAATCCATGTAGTGCACCTCAGCCTGGAGCTCCTTGGTAACGTATCCCAGCAGGGCGGCTGTCAGCTGCTGCTTCAGGGCTGCGTTGCCCATCACCAGAGCGGAGAGCTGGACCACATCTGTCCACTGAATGTCTCCCAGGACGACCATGAGGTCATCGTAAAGCTTCTGCTGCTGCTGAGGACTGAGCTCCATGAGGATCTGAGGCAGCGGTTTGAACTGTCCACTGGTCAGCCAGCAGCCCAGGAGGCCTCCGACGGCACCGCCTGCAGGAGGAGAGGGGTTCAAACTTGTGAATTTAAGCAACAGTATTGATCTGATCAACAGTCTAATAGACGACTGCAGTGGAGCATTCACTTGGGTGATAACAGTGCAGATTACACAGGGGGGGACTCCAGCTTGTAAAATGAGTCATGATGACACAGGTTAGAGAAGCTGTAGCATTTTCTGCCTCCTCACTCACCCACTGCAATACCCAGAGGACCCCCGACCAGCCCCCCGGCGAAGGCCAGTCCTCCGGCTGCTGCCGCCCCCTTCCCCGAGCCCCTCACCGTGGTCTGGATCTGCTGGTTGGCAGATAACTCACAACACAGCCTCATGACATCATCGACTCGATGACCCATACTGGAAATCTGATTTTTTTTAAATATGAGGAGACGAAAGCAGAGATGACAACTTTAGGTCACAGCAAGTAATGTTAATAAAGCACAGAGCAGGAAACCAGGGAATCAGACTCACAATCATACAGACACTGAAAATTAAAACATGATCCTGAAACATGTACAGAACTTAATAATATCTGATGCACTTACCTAAATATATCATTATATACTAGTGTTATAGCACTGATTGCATCAGGAAGCATTTTGATGAATAAGCTATTATCACCCCTGTCAACACAACAACCGTCCAGAGGTTGCTATGGTAACTATATGAACGCATGTCACATACCTGACGTGTTTTTAAATCCTCATCAATAGTTGAGTCTGTTCTTATTTCATCAAAGTCAAATGCGATGTGTTCGGTTCAAAGGCTGAATTTCACCGGCCACTCATGACTTCTGAGCTCGCAATGCTTTATGGGTAAATCAGAAACAATGTTGCATTCGCGGACATTCAGGAATTCCCCCCTCTCTTTGGTCATGCAACAAACGTTAATTTAGGTTAGTGTCATCTATTTTTTAAGATAATGCTCATGTTTGATTACAGGTTTTCAAAACGTGTTTATGCACATTCAGAATGAAAGGTGTTGAAAATTAGAGATTAATTACATTATTCTCATGCTTCATTTTCCTTTGGGATCAATCAAGTATCAATCTCATGGAACTAGCTGTAGAAAATTTGTAAATTGAGAAGGACTTCTAAAAAAGCCTCAATTCATTTCTTGCAGAATTTTGAGTTTTGCTGATGAACCTAGAAAACTGGACACGTGAGGTGTTTTCATGGGTAAATTAGGTAAAACATTTTAACAAGGGGCTTCCTGATCTCTTCATAATCACTTAAATGTATTATTTATGATTAACTTGGTAATTCAAAGCTTTATAAATTAAGGTGGCCTTCAAGAGTTTCAACAAGTGCATGAGTGATGATTCAAATTGCATGCCAAATATTTCACATTAATGTGAAATGTATTATTATTATTATTATTATTAACCCCTTGAATTCTTGCCAATTCTTATTTTCGTTTTTAATGAAGTATTTGTTCTTGATTTACAGTAAATCATGTACTATTGAGACAGCTGGAAATTGTGACATTGCCAAAGGCAACGCAGGCAGCCAATCAGCGTGTGGGAAGAAGGGGGCTGAGCCCATGATCTTATATAAATGATCCACAAACAAACTTGTTCATGACACCTGCTCCTCTGAGACCAGAGTGTGTTCATGATTTCACTGCACACAGTTGTACGTGTGTTTGTGTTGTCATGTGTGTGTGTGTTTGTGTTGTCATGTGTGTATGTGTGTGTGTGTGTGTGTGTGTTTGTGCAGCTGAGGGCAGATCCTCCAGGTCACATGATCTCATGTATGTTTTCACTCCCTGACATGATTCTGTTACATGTTGATATGTGTTGATTACATGTGTCATGTTGCTCTATGACAACTGTTTACATACGTGCAAACCATCTTCACTTACCCAGAATACACCGGGACACACGGAGGAGCAGCTGCGTCAAGTTCTTCTCATAGAGCTGAAAAACGGAAACCACAAGAGTTTGTCTTCAAAGTAAAAGCATGAAACCTGACAGATAGATAATAAAATAATATTGTACGATAATAAAATGATATTATGTCATTAAATGAACACTGAACATTCTTTATAGTAATATATATATATTGTATTATTTACACTTTAGTATTTAATATCGACAAACTAAAAGGGAAACAATGAAACACACAACAACTGCACCGATGACAAAAATCAACACCGATGAAAGACACAAAAATCGTTCCTCGTTATTAGTTATTGAATTAATTATCTTGAGGAATAAACGTATATATGGAAAAAGGGAAAGTCTGTGTAGATGTGTTGTAACGTGACACCACAACCGGAAGTGCTGCCGTTAATCCCGGTGTGTTGACCTTGGACGGAGGTGCATGGCGCAGTGACAGTGGCGAGGGGGATATTTGCTAATTGTGGATTATTAAAACGCGTGGATGGTTTTTTTGGGAGATGCTGCAGGTATCGTGAAGTGAGATGATCCCTCTGATGAAGGTGTGGATGAGCATCACTGCCCCATTGATGAACACGAGCACAACGGGTCGCAGGACGAGCTGCTGCTGCTGCTACATTCATAAACACTTGTTTAGGACTCACAACAACCCCTGAGCTTTGTTTCGGGCTCATTTACACACACAACAACAACAACTAATAAACAAGGAGGAGAAACCCCTGCAGGTTCCCGTCGTGCACGTGGACGGATCATGGCGGAGGAAGGTAAAGTGAGTGTGGATGATCTCGGTGGAGTTGTCAGGCTCCGGGAGGAACACGAGAAGGTAAATGTGTTGAAATGTGAAGCTGCTTTAACACAAACGCACAAACACAACTCAAAGTCATTGTTCGACTTTAAACACGCACGGTTACGCATGTGTTGCACATTTGACAACATGTGTGCGTTGTTGTTTCGACTTTTTTTTCCTTCGAGAAGCTTCCTCCTTTGTGCACATGTTCTGGTCCGAGTGTTTCCTGGAGCAGGAAGGTGTGTCTCACTTCTACCACACAACAGAACAACACGGGGGAAAGTGGCGTAACGTGTTTTAGTGAATTGTAAACTAGCTAGCTAGGCTAACGGAGGACGAGTTAGCTAGTAAGTCTCCCATGGCAACCCCTCCCCCTTCTTCTTCTTCTTCTTCTTCTTCTGCTTGTGTCTTAAAAATCAAATCCTCAAAACATAAATAAACATGGAATCAGGAACATGGATGAGCTTTCACTCCAGTTTCACTTTTGATTTAAAGTTCCACTCATCAACACTGAACTTCCTCCAGTTCAGCCTCTTGCTGATCAATAATCATCTGGTTTAATCCTTTATTTTATTCTGGTATTTCTCATTTTTTTCTCTGTAAGTCTTCTGCAAACTTTGTGTTTGTGTGTCACCGTGTGTCACAGTGAAAGTTGTGTTTGCACAGGCGTTCTGACCATTTGCAGATGTGACAGCTGTGTTTACTTCCCTCTCCTGCTTCCCCTGAAGTTGGTTTGGTTTAAATGAAGATGATTCTTAAACAGATAAATTATATACTTGTGAGCTCGTTGTGTTTATGTGCCACCTTTAAAAACAGTCACTGCAAAGTGCTCCACGAAGAGGACAAGTAAAGACAAGAAGCAGTTTTAAACAATGGAATTTAAATCAAAGATTGTATAACACCAAATCTAAAATTAAAGACAGCAGATAGAATAATATATTGTACAAGTTGTATCAGTCAAATTAAAGCACCAATCAGAAAATGTCCATGAGCTGGTAATCTGTATTTTCATCATAACGCTCAAGAGAATCATGTGTAAGTTTCATTTTCATCATTGTACATTTATTATTTGTCCCAATAACCAGGTGGTGAAAGACTGTGAAAGTCGGATTCAACACTGGTAAGTTTCCCTCTCTCTCTCTCTCTCTCTCTCTCCCTCTCTCCTCTCTCCTTTCAAACAAACCAAATGCAGATCAAAGAGCTTTACAGGTGATTTACAAAGAATGTTAAAAACTATTTAAAAATTAGTTCGAAACATTCAAATATAGAGTCTAATGCATATAAAAGCAATAATGAATAGATAAATATCTGGGTTTTTAATGTACGTTTAAAAATATGAACATTTACAGCTGAACTAATAAAATCATTTTAAAATCAATACGAACAGTTAACCTGTGTAAAGATTTTAAAACATATTTTATACGTCCTTTTCTTTTTGCTCTTAATCACCTCTCGTGTGGCAGAGTTTAGATTTTATAATAATAACATTGACTTTGGCTTCGGGGAATCAGGCATGCTTCTGTGTGATATTAATGCTTCTTGTTAAATGTGCCAGCTTTGGTCAAAATCAACAAATTGCACTCTCTCTGACAATCAGATGCTATTGTTTGAAATACGCCACAATCAGCCCGTTTATTCCCGCGGCCCGAACACAGTCGCAGTGGTAAGAAGAAGCGTTTTTAGCAGCAGCAGCTTCAAAAGCCCTGCGCACCAATACAGTGGATTCCAGAAATGAATTGCAGAATGGGCCGAAGGCCATTATACACCTTTGTGAACAATAAAGTTTTATTACGGTCCATGGCACGTCATTAGATGTGTGATGTCATCAAACCTAGTGGACCAGTAGGCCTCAAACACGGCAGATATTGGGAGTGGTCACAACAGGAGAAGCACAGGTGTCACTTACAACAATAACAATGGCTGTGTTGTGTTCAAGTACAAATACACTTGTTATATAATTACAATAGTTCCTAGTTAAACAAATTTAAGCACATGATAAGTTAACATTTGTTCTTTCTGTAAAGAGAGCAACACCCTTCCAACAAACGTAGAGCAACCAGATCACAAGCTATTTATTAGTCTGTATTAGGAGTTAAACGAGTAAAATCATTTTAAAATCAATACGAAAACTAACAGTTAACCAGTGTAAAGATTTTAAAATCGGTGTTTTGTTTCTTGGTCTGTAGTAAGGGCTTTTGGATACAAGGTGATTTCTTCTGCCTACAAAATACTATTAACTTGAAGAGTTCAAGTTATTGTCGAAGCTAAAATGAAGATTTGCTATCTGCACTAGAAAAACAGAGAGAGTGACTGTTCACATTTACACGTGTTCTTATTCTGCGTGGAAGTAGTCATCATAATGTGAGCTCCGTCAGTTACTCTCTTATCATCTACACATTCTTACAAAGGATTAATAGCATCATCTCCCCTGACAGAAATCTGCTCTTCCCTCGTGGTTTCCTTCCCATTGTTCTGTTTAACTTTCCAAAACAAGTCAAACAAACCATATTGGAAAACAATGACTTGAAAACAGACGTCAACTTCTTGGCTTAACGTCTTCTATTATTTTGCAGGAGGAAGGTCTCCAGTGACTACGAGGCTCTGAATGACCGTCTTAAAACTCTTCCAGATCAACTGTCGTACGACATCATGGTGAGTGCTCACCTGGTTCAAAAAGCACAGGGAAGCAAACGTACACAGACTCATTTACCCATCCTGTGCATTGTGGGTAAGGTTGAAGACAATTTATCGGTGTCATGAGCTGAGCTAATCTTCTTAATACACTGATAGTTTAATTTCTCCCTTCTCCCGCTTTGTCTCAATCATCTCTCTTTGTCGTTCTGCTCTCCCTCCGTCCACTGCGCTGTGAACAGGTGCCGTTCGGCCCTCTGGCCTTCATGCCCGGGAAGCTGGTGCACACCAACGAGCTCACAGTGTTGCTCGGCGACAACTGGTTCGCCAAGTGCTCGGCTAAGCAGGCTCAGAAAATCGTCGACCACAGAACGAAACGTGAGTCTGTCTATGAAAAGAAAAAAGATAGTTTGCTGTCCTCTCTGAAAAGATGGCCGTGTTTATTGTTTTAATGGAACCTCTCAGCACTGCTGCCGTTCA